ATCACATAATATCAACTTCTCCCATCTAAACTGGACAAAGGGTTTTAAAATGGGAAGAAAATAGTTTGATTGCAAGTTGTTTGGAGGAGATCTAGTTTTATTTGAACAGCATGAATACAGTCTTCCAAGGTGCAAACCCTCCTCCTCCTCCTGAAGCTTGTGGAGCTCCTTCATGTACTGCTGTCTTATCTGCTGGCCATCTTCTCTCAGCAGAACTTCGACTGTTGAAATGTCATTCAGAAGAAGCTCGAGCATGTGACATGGATCCAGAAGAACATGGACTTTAAGTGAGAGGTCTTCAGGATGGCAAAGAAAGAGAGAAAATATCGGTTATTCATTAAATCATTTATTAAATCATCAAATTATTTTTCTGTATTCATCTGTGTGTAAGAGCACATTTATAAATTCAACAGTGTACTACCCAGACAACAAAGGTCCAGTATTCAGGTAATCAACATCTATTCAAAGTTAAGAAGATAAACATTATTGTAATCATGCTGTTTTCAGCTCTCTCACTCACACAATGATATTCCACATCAAATTGTCTCAGATTTTGGGTGAGGAAAAATTAAGCAGTTTATTGTGGATAGTACTTCATCTTAACATGAAACAAATATAACCTGAATTATTTAAATCATTAACAGGTCCCAACTCTCTGTGCTTTAGTACAGAACATACAGTAACTCATTTATTATTAACATGAGCTCAGTACATGGCTGTATTCTTCAAACTATTTCTTATACTTTATATCTATGTGCTTTATATCTTATTTTCATTCCATATGTTATTTATATTTTATATTTCTACAGCTATATTCTGTGTATGAGTTCAGTGAAAATTAATATGGTTATTAATATAGTTCTTAATGGTTACAGATGCTCTTACAAAGTGATTTTTGTTAACAGTTTGCTCAAATCTTAAGACACTACATCAACCATGTAACTTTAATGTCATCCTCTATAACCTACACAGCACATTAGGTTCAGTTCAGTTTATGTTACTGACGGATAATTACTACACAAAGTTTGTTTTTTAATGTCCACATTTAGGTGGAGTATAACATTCATCATAACGTCAGATAACCACCGAGATGAACCTTTAGCTTCTAACATCACACAAACTCATTATTTTCAACATCTTAACAACAAACATTTCTAAACCATTGACTGTAAATAATGTAAATAATGAGCTACACAGTTAGCCGACTGGTTTACAAGCTAACTCTAAACAAGCTAGGTCCGTAAATATAAACACATGAGTAAGCAGTAAATATAACACTACTATATCACTTACCGAAAAAACTGAAGCATCAACTTGTTGGATGGTCTGTTAACCGCACAGCAAGCCATGTATGTTGTCAGATATGTGTTAAACAAACTCTCCAAACGAAGTAAGAAAGAGGAGAAATCAGACGGATCAAGCTGTTAGCCTCCTGACCTGCTGACCTGCTGACCTCCTGACGACGCGCAGAGCTGTCAATCAAATCTGCCACAACCCTAATATGGGCATAGCCATTTTCCTTAATAGAATAAAATCAGATGAGTTATAAAAAATTCTAAGTGTTTGTGGATTTGTGCATTTGGGTTCTTAGTACAATTGTCACATTGCAGGAAGTCACATAACTAGAAATACGTCATGCTGACACTTTTGTGCTGCTAGATGGAAAACCAAATCTCCCAAATGCCTTTTTTTTGTTTAGGCCAGACTTATACTCTGCAAAGTCAGGCTGTATCCGACTCAAATGTTTGAGTCTGATGCACACTGGAGTGGAGCAGCACTGCAAAGAGAGAGAGAGAGAGAGATCAATGATAATTAAGGGAGGTCAAATACCCTTTTTCTCGTAAGTGGCAGCCGAGGACACGACTGCATCTGTCAGTCTTCTTCAGAGAAGATGAAACTGGTCTGAAACATTTCACTTCCCTCTCTTAGCTCAGCAACCGTTCAACAGACAGGCACCACTGCTTAACCGTGACAACAGACACGTTTCACTACTTAAAACAAGACGTTATGAGCAACTTGTTTTAGACTTTAGATGCAGTGAAGTTTGGTTTGCAAAAGACAAATTCAGAATTTCGCTGTAATTCTGTGATAAGTCTTTGTATATGTTGTATCCACTTTCAACATTTTTCTTATTAAAAGAACATTTTTAATCCCTGAGAAAGGGCAAACACAAGCAACACAAAAAAAGTTGGCAAAAAACTTTTTCAGGTTTTAAAGAATAGTTTAAATGTTGTTTGAATTGTGTATATGAAAAACTGAAACTTGTGGGAAAATAATTGTTAAAGCTACTGAAATACTTTTCAGAAAACTTTTAAAATACTTGAAAGACTCATCATCAGATCAGCTCATTGAGTGATTGAAATCCATCATTTCCATCAAGAGCCACTTTGCATGAGCAGCAGCATGCTCCAGTGCTCGGGGAGAGTTTAAAGTCCTGAGAGTTGAACACTGGAGGACTGACAGCTGTCCTTCATCACAACAGGAGCCACAGAAATCCTCCTCCTCCTCATCCAAAAACATGACTTTGATCTGCGTCCTCATCTGGACTCTCCTCCTCTGCTGCTGCTTCACAGGTAAAGTCCAGACAATCAAACTCCTCCTCTATGAACATCTGTCTCTCTGAAATGAAGCCCACACAACCCTGATGCTGCTTCATGTGTTTGTCTCTGTCTCCTCAGAGTCCAGAGGACAGGTCACAGTGACTCAGCCTGCAGCAGTGAGATCTGCTCTGGGAGCCTCCGTCACCTTATCATGTACAACCAGTGAGGATGTAGATACTACGGCGACGACGAACCCTTTTAGCCTGGTACCAACAGAAAGATGGAGGAACTCCTAAACTGCTGATTTACGATGGTAGCACTCGAGTATCGGGGACTTCAGATCGTTTTACAGGCAGTGGATCAAACTCTGACTTCACTCTGACCATCAGTGGAGTCCAGACTGAAGACGTAGCAGTTTACTACTGTCAGAGTATACATGATATCAACAGTGAGTGGGTGTTCACACAGTGAAAAAGCGTCGTACAAAAACCTCCCTCAGTCAGCCTGAACAGAAACCAGACTGACTGCTGCAGCAGGAAGCTTCTGCAGAGACTGACACACTTCACTGAGGACACACACTCAAACACTACACTGACTGGTTTCCATCACCTCTTCCCTGTAATACAAAAACTACACAATCAGTTATTCAATATCATATATTTCCACTATACAGTACTTAGCATTTCAAAATGAACCCTTGGCATATGCCAGATATTTATGAAAAGATTTTTAGTGTTGTCCTCGTTCTCTTCTCAAAGGTGACTTCAAGAGAGTGTGGGGTAAAGCCGATCACAGAGCCAGCCTCTTTGATCAGCTTATTGATCCTATTTGTATCATCCAAACAGATGCTGCCCCCCCCCAGCACAGAACAGAATAAAAGAGGACACTAGCCAAAACATACAGAAGGTTCTTGCTAATGTCAAAGGATCTAAGCTTCCTTAAGAGACTTGACTGAGCCTTCTTTAAAGACACATCAGTGTCCATTTTCCAATTTAATTTACTGTCCATGAAGACATCGACATTTTTATGAAACTGGACAGTTTGGATCTGCTGTGAGGGGAAACATCGTCTTTCTTTCTTCTAAAATCAATAATACTTTCCAACATTCAATATGCATCACACTAGCTGACTAAAGATTCAATCTCTGTTTTTGTTGGTCAGATTGTTGCCTTGGGTAAGTAGGTGCACGAGTGCAGTAACATCTGAAAACTTGTGGACATGATATCTGTGCACACTAACACAATCAGGACCTGGAGAGATGTCAGTGGGGCTGCTACACACTGCGACACAGGGAGCACAACAGAGCTGTTGGGGGTTCAGTGTCTTGCTCTAGGACACCTCTATAGCACTCAGAGAGTGACCTGGACCTGGCAGCTTCCATACTTTGATGTGTACAGGACTTAAACCAACGACCCTCAGGTTCCCAAACAAGGTCCCTACAGACTGAGCTACTGTCGCCACAAATATATAAAATACAGCGCCTGCTCTATCAACTGAGCTAAACTGGTGCCCTGCAGAGGAAAGGTTAGTCTGGTTCCAAACTTGTTTCCATAAGAGTCCTACTAATTATATCCAAGAAAAGCAGAGCACCCAAAGCACCCACAGGTAAAAGAAGGAGTTTACTACTGTCAATAGTTAAAAAGCATTTGAATTGTTTTAATTGATAAATATTTCTTTTTATGAGTTAAGTATTAAATCGTTTTCTTTTGACTTCCCAACAGAATATGCAGAACAGTCTTAACCCTAACCCTACCAAAAAGCCTTTGAATAAACTTTCCACAATGTGTGTTCTTATGATTTTATTTATATATTTAAATCTAATTTTGAAAACCACAGAGCAGGCATTGAACAAAATGCCAGAAGCAATGTTTTATCACTTTATGCTGATGATATCATCCGTTTTATTTGTAACACATTTCTTACCCACCTTCATTATTTTCAGAGATTTAACAATTCAACACATCAGTCATCAGATTGAGACATTTCACCATCTTCAACAGCAGATTTTGATGATATAAGATTATTTGGAAGTTTTCCATTGCTACTTATTTTTTTTATTCTTTAGATGAACTTACCAAAGTCCGTTCAAAAATTGTTAACCTGTTAAGAAATGAAAGATATGCACAACAAACACTGTTTGATTCCATTTTTATTCTTTTGCTCATTTTAAGAAAAACTGTCAATAAAAAAGGCAAGAAAAGTTAACGTTGAAACATAAAATCATAGAGAGGGAAAGAAGGCATTTAGCGTGTAAACTGAGTGCAGTTTCAGAAGTGAAACAACGGCAGGGGGAAACCAGCAGCAGAGTCCAGGTGATACAGCTCAGTCCTGGGAACACTGGTCCCTCCTCAGTGTCTCTGAGACCAGCGTCTGGGAGCCCTGGGTGGCCTCACAGGTCACCGAGCCCACCTTCTCGTCCACTGGCCTGCAGAGAGCCTCAGGGTGCTGCTCCAGCTGTAACGAGCGTCCTGCTCCATCACCGCAGGGCCCCTGCTCTCCTCCCAGCTGCCGCCGCTGATGCCGTCCACCTTCCAGGCCAGACTCCAGTCTGAGGGGAAGCCCTTGTTGGCCAGGCACACGAGCGTGGCCTTCCCCTGCTGCAGCTCCTCATTGGAAGGGGGCAGAACCATCAAGGTGGGACGGGCTTCACCTAGGAGACACCAATCAGAACAGAGGACAGGAACCACACAGCTGTCAGTCAAACACATCACTCCTGGACACCTTTGCAGTTGAAAGCAGAGTTTCTCCTTTAAGAGTTTCTGTCAGATGTTTTTTTCTGCTTCAGCAGTCACTCACACATTGTTTCACTTCCCTCTCAGAAATCTGTCATGCAAATCAACACAGAGACGATCATCGTACAGAGAGACCAGAATACACTGGACATAAAATATATACGCTGAAAAATCATCAAATCACTCAAACCTTTGAAATACCTGTTTTTCTAACTCTTGAGTGGAAACATGAACCAAATCTATCAATAAAACATGTTTTAAATCATAAAAGGCCAAAAAATCTTCAGTGACATAATCTGCAGAAAGAGATCAGAGATTTTGAACATTTTCTTTCAAAATTCTTACAACTTCCCTTTGAGCAATTTATTCAAAATGACAAAATGAAATAAAGGCCTTTAAGAGTTATCGTTGATGTGGAATAGATATCTGAAACCAGAGAATTATTTTTTATGAATCTGAAGCTGCTGGACTGAATGTAAATGATCTGTCCTGAGATGGTACAGGAGGACAAACACAAACAGGAAAAAAATATAATGTAAAAATGTATAAATGTTTCTTCATATTGTAAATGAAAAAAAAAAAAAATCACGATTACATTACACTGTTTAGAAATCACAGAAACTTACCTCCGACATCCAGTCTGGTTCCTCCACCAAAAGTCCACCACAGTGATACAAAGTCACTGAGTCGCCGTACAAAAACCTCTCACTGCACAGAGACACGGCTCTCTGACTTCAACACATCGTACTCAAACTACCAGCCCTCAAGATGCAACTTCACCTTTACAATGATAACACTCATTTACTCTGGAACAAATGATGACTTGGCTTCAGATTGACATTTATTTTGATACGATTTTGTGTTTCATTAAAATTGTTTTTAGTCTAAATACAGAGAAAAACATGCACACAAATGTTTGGGTCAGTCATTTTCAGTCTTCCATTTCAAAATAAAATAATCTCTTGACATACAAAGGGTTAATATTTGACTTACTTCCAACATCCAGTCTGGTTCCTCCACCAAATGTGTACCACAGTGATGCAAACTCACTGAGTCGCCGTACAAAAACCTCTCACTAAAGAAAGTAAAAAAAAATGCTCTTGTCTGCAAAACCTTCAAATGAACTGAAAAGTATAAAGAATACATTTCCATTAATATTCAAAATTAAGACATTTATTCCGGGGATTTCTCCAGAAGCATGAACACGGTTTTAAAAACATGTCTTATTGAAATTTAAAAAAATCATTAACTTTATAATTAGTATAATCCAAGTCCCCAGTTAGTCAGAGCATTTCCATAAAGAGCCACTTTGCATGAGCAGCAGCATGCTCCAGTGCTCGGGGAGAGTTTAAAGTCCTGAGAGTTGAACACTGCAGGACTGACAGCTGTCCTCATCACAACAGGAGCCACAGAAATCCTCCTCCTCCTCCTCATCCAAAAAACATGACTTGATCTGCGTCCTCATCTGGACTCTCCTCCTCTGCTGCTGCTTCACAGGTAAAGTCCAGACAATCAAACTCCTCTCCTCTATGAACATCCGTCTCTCTGAAATGAAGCCCACACAACCCCTGATGCTGCTTCATGTGTTTGTCTCTGTCTCCTCAGAGTCCAGAGGACAGGTCACAGTGACTCAGTCTGCAGCAGTGAGATCTGCTCTGGGAGCCTCCGTCACCTTATCATGTAGGACCAGTGAGGATGTAGATTACTACGGACGAACCCTTTAGCCTGGTACCAACAGAAAGATGGAGGAACTCCTAAACTGCTGATTTACTGGTAGCACTCGAGAATCAGGGACTTCAGATCGTTTTACAGGCAGTGGATCAAACTCTGACTTCACTCTGACCACATGGAGTCCAGACTGAAGACGCAGCAGTTTACTACTGTCAGAGTTGATACATATCATCAACAGTGAGTTGGTGTTTCACACAGTGAAAAAGCG